CATTTTTAAATCAAATTAATTGATGATAAAAATTTATAAATTTTTTAATTATCCTATCTGAATTAATATATATAATAATTTAACTAGTTAAATAATTTTAATTTAGCCATTTAATTAAATTTCATGAATTCAACATGTAAATCAATATTAAATATTTTTTATGTTATTTCAAGAATGTGTTAGGAATTTATAAATAAAAAGTAATAATCAATTCGTTGTGTTAGCCGAGTGCTGCGAGAAAGAGGCACTGGTTCACTCTTGGACGGTCCGTCAGCTCCTTTTGCCCGACTGGAAGAAGAATTTTGGGTTTGCAACCTGTTTCAAAAATCCGGTATGCCACTTGATCTAGAGGAATACTCGGTTACTAACTTTAGAAACATTGATGATTTATCTTCCAAGAGACGTGTCGGAGTATCAAACTCTGCAACTCGATCTGCAAGTAAGTTCCCGATTTATTCGGAGAACGTCGAGTTTTTTCAGTGACAATAATACTAAAGAATCCTGAATTTTAAAATGAAGATTTGAAGACATAGCTTTACATATCATCACTCAAAACCAAAACAAGATCACTGTCAATTACGGTTGGAATACGATGTGCAACTGCAAACGGTGTTGTTCATAAACTCTGTTATGATGTTCTTCTGTATGAGATTGTCTGTGGCACTATTGTCGCGGCCGTCTTTCGGATGGACCCCGAAATTGGGCTTCAACTTGAAATAATGAGTTAGAGTCGCCACCGATCATTTTAAAAATATTTAGGTAGATCGGACACCATTTTACCTATTATGCGTTTTACTACAAATGTGTCGAGTTCGAGAGTCGGTTACAACCAAAGAATGATTAGCACCCTTGAACTGTCTTTTCGGTATCAATTAATTTGTTGGTTGTCTTTATTTGCGAAAATTAAAATTAAAATTTAAAAAACCCGATTCAAATTACTTACCTCTAATTGGTTGGATTTTCTATTAAAAAAGTATAACTGTTAGATAACAAATAATAAACAAATATTAAATAAATCAAAGGGAAAATAAAAAAAATAAAAATAAAAAATAAAAAAAAACATATCAAAAGAAAAAAATATTAAATAAATATGAAAACAAAAATAAATAAATAAAAAATAGATCAAAAGAAAATTTTTTTTAAATAAATATGAAAACAAAATAAATAAAAAATTGTTAAATATTAAATATAATATACAAACATATACACACAACATACTAAATACATATTTTAATGTAATTACAACCTTATGCGAAATTTGCAAGTAAAAATAAGTGGGGCCCTTACTGAATAAGCCAAGTAATAAAGAAAAGATTTTATCCTTATTTTATGTTAGCATAAAAACGGCAGCATCCATAAACAGGTTAAAAAAATAAAACCCTAAAAATATATTATTGTTAACCTTCATTCTCCACAGTCGTTTCCCTCTTCTCTCAAAACACCATTTTCATTTCCTTTTCTTTTCTTTCAACTCAGAACACACCATGGACAAAGACCCCATTTCCCAACCACCTTAAGTTGGCAATGAGAAAGGGACGAAGGCCTCTCAAACAACTTTCTTACTTTCTTAAGTCAAACCTCGAACTAAAGTGAAATCCACCAAAACCTAGACAAAACAAAGAAAATAAGATGGCTTTTTTACAGTTACCTTCACTTTTAAGGTTTTCTCTACTCCAATAACCGAAGTTCGTCCACATCTGAAGGAGAAAGGTATGAATTCTTTCAAAGCTTTGTTTTTTTATTTTCGTATCTTTCCCGATTTTTGTATGTGGCTTTTCTCTTGTTCCTCCCCACTGGTTTTTCCGAATCCTCTCTGGTTATTTTTCACTATGTTTTTTTTCTTTTCGAAACTGTCATGAATCCCTCAGTTTTTTCCTCCCAAAATGCTTCCCCTTGAATATTTCTCTATATGTTTGCCTTGAATGAATCTGGTATGAACACCCCCTTATATTTCTCCGTGTTTTTCGTATTTGTTCCTCGTATCCCCGTATTTTACTTATATTTTTAGTCTATATTTCCTCGTATTTTCGTGTATTCTCTATGGATTTGTCAGTCTTTCATTGATTACAAGCATCTTATTTATAGTCTAAAAGAGACTATTTTTAGTCCCGATTTATTCGGGTTTTTGACTCCTAATGGGACTGAAATTGGTTTTTTTTATTGGTTGTTGATGTTGATGAGTCCACGATGTCGTGCTGAGCGAAACGGTCGGAGGGAGATGCGTGAGTGGCGAGGAGTCCTCGGGGGGGCTATTGCGGCGCAGAAGAGACTGAGGCTAGGGTTGGAAAACCCTAGCTTGCATCGGGTCTGAACCTGTTCGGGCGCTTCAGCGGGTCATGAACCTGGGTTTGGGTCGCGGGTCATTGGTATTAGGTCGTGGCTTGGGTTGTTGCTGAGTTCACTTGTTTTTTAATTTGGACTTGGGTTTGTTGTAATCGGGTTTGTTGGGCTTTGGTGTTTGGACCTAAAAATAAATAAAAAAACACGTAATAAATATAAATGTATGCATATGTAATATATCATAATAAAAATAATAAAATAGTCAGACGAAAATTAGTGTCCACAACTGCCCCTCTTTGCCCATTATAGTGTAACAGGAATAGGGCAAAGATTACAAGACACAATTTTCATTCGGTATGAAAGAGTCCCTGAGTCTAATATCCTCATTTGTGGAGTTGAAATTGAGTCTGATATTGCAATTAGGAATAACTCCTTGTCAAATTGAGTTGCGGATGATTGCTCCGTCGCGAAGTCGAGTCCATCTTGAAGTCGTAGTTCGGAATTTGAATCGGAATGTGGCTTCTCATTGCCAAATTGTAATCAAATTCGGTCTTCTTCTCGATTTAAAGACCTTGGTTTAAAAATTCGACTGGAAAATGGTTTCTTTACTCCACCATGTGGTTGATAGGCCCATGAGCTGAACGAAATCGAAGTCAAAGAGTTTTTATCGACATATAACTCTTCTTGCCTTGAGTTATGTTGTACTGAACTTGAGAGATTGCTTCCATATCTTTTTCTTGACTTAAAGACATTGGCTTCAACCAGAAAGTAGTCTCTTGATGCTTCCATGTGGTTGATGTGTCATCGAGCTGAGTGGAATCGAACTCAATAATTTTTTTGACAGATAGCTTTTCTCGACTTAAGCTATGATGTAAATTTGATGTGCCTTTGAGCTGAGTGCAATCAAACTTGAAGGTCTTGTTTGACAGATAACCCTTCTTGCCTTGAGTTATACTGTACTGATATGCCTTTGAGCTGAATGTAATCAAACTCGAAGGTCTTTGGCAGATAGCCCTTCTTGCCTTGAGCTATACTGCAAATGATGTGCTTTTGAGCTGAGTGTAATCAAACTCGAAGGTCTTTTGTTGGCAGATAACCCTTCTTGCCTTGAGTCATGTTGCAAATGATGTGCCTTTGAGCTGAGTGTAATTGAACTCGAAGGTCTTTTGTTAGCAGATAGCTCTTCTTGCCTTGGGCCATGCTGCAAATGATGTGCCTTTGAGCTGAGTGTAATCGAACTCGAAGGTCTTTTGTTGGCATATATCCCTTCTTACCTTGAGCTATGCTACAATTGATGTGCCTTTGAGCTGAGTGTAATCGAACTCGAATGTCTTTTGTTGGCAGATAGTCCTTCTTGCCTTGAGCTATGCTGCAAATGATGTGCCTTTGAGCTGAGTGTAATCGAACTCGAAGGTCTTTGGCAGATAGCCCTTCTTGCCTTGAGCTATGCTGCAAATGATGTGCCTTTGAGCTGAGTGTAATCGAACTCGAAGGTCTTTGGCATATAGCCCTTCTTTCCTTGAGCTATGCTGCAAATGATGTGCCTTTTAGCTGAGTGTAATCAAACTTGAAGGTCTTTGGCAGATAGCCATTCTTGCCTTGAGCTATGCTGCAATGATGTGCCTTTGAGCTGAGTGTAATCGAACTCAAAGGTCTTTGGCAGATAACCCTTCTTGCCTTGAGCTATGCTTCAAATGATATGCCTTTAAGCTGAGTGCAATCGAACTCGAAGGTCTTTGGCAGATAGCCTTTCTTGCCTTGAGCTATGCTGCAAATGATGTGCCTTTGAGCTGAGTGTAATCGAACTCGAAGGTCTTTGGAAGATAGCCCTTCTTGACTTGAGATATGCTGCAAATTATGTGCCTTTGAGCTGAGTGTAATCGAACTCGAAGGTCTTTTGTTAGAGGTGCTTTTGAGTATCTTCCATTTTGGAGTCGAAACTTAACTCTAAAAGCTGCAAAACATTATGTATGTGAAAAAAATAACAAATGTGATGCTCTTAAGTATGTCTAAGATGCATGCAATATGAATTAGTTATGGTTGGAGTCTCATTTTTGTTTGCTGGTCTTGTACTCGGAACCGACCATGCCCCATTTTCTTCTCGAGTTACAGCTTTTCATATTTGAGACTGCCTTTTTTGAAAATGTTCTTTTCCTTTTCTCTTATTTTAAGAGGGAATAATCTTGTAAAACAATGTTCCTTATTTCAGGATCGTAATCGAATCAAATTATAAACATAAATTCAAAGGATATTAAAAGAATCAATAGCTCTTTTATTCTTTCAGAGTTATAGGTCTTTGACAAATGTTTAAATGGATGAGTTGGCTTTAGGTTGACCTCCTATTTTCCAAGGTTTTAGCCATAAAAAATGCCATTTCTCGGTTATTGCAATATGCCCATTTTTTGGCTTGGTATTTTAATTGGATGCAGACAAAATGACGCAACTAGAATGACCAGTTTCTAGACCTTCTATTTTGGTCCTCTGAAGTCTTCAATTTGTTCAAGATTTATAGGCTCCTCTAATAAAAGCAGTGTAAAAATATCGGTCTAAAAATGAAATTCTTGAGTGCTCGTGTGAAATTGACTATAACAGGTGTTCCTTAACTCCCTTAGTCCATCTTTACTGAAACTCCTTATTTAAATAAATTTGATTTAATTTGCCATTGTCTGGCTAGCTGAATCTATAAAGCCGGGGTGTTTAACCAATTGCTCTTTAGGAACAGCTCAATATATAGACACCTTTATCAGGTTAGCTGAATCTTATCCATAAGGCCGGGGCATTTAACCTATTGCCTTAGAGGGACAGCTCGAGCTTCATTGTATAGTATAGTCACCTTTATCAGGCTACCTGGATCTTATCCATATAGTCGGGGCGTTTAACTAATTGCTCTAGAGGGACAGTTCAAGTTTTATTGTGTATATATAATAATTTGGGTATACGGATCCAATTTCTTAAAATTGTCAAGAAGAACCTGTTATAGTCTAGGTGTTGTTGAAAGTCAAAAATTTCATCTTTAGAGTTTAATTCTGAAGCAACTGACCTAAACTAGATTCACCTACTCGAATATTCCATCTGTAAAGATCATCATCATCATTGAACGTCTTAAACAAAAAGTATAATAATGTCGTATGTAAAAGATCCCCCATGTTGTCTGCATCTATGCACATCTAAATACCAAGCCTTTTTTCATTCTTTTATGAGATGAGAAGGCTATATCGGTTCTTGTAAGAGAAAGGTATGGTGTTTGAGCTTATTTTTTGGGGGTAAGGTCAAAGTTCTTGTTTTACCACTTTTTAATCATGTTACTTTGTCAAAGATTTATAACTCCAATCATTTACAGAGTTTTCAATTCAGTTGATATTCAAAGAATTTCAAGTCTGCAAATTTGATTCATTGCTCGTCATCTTTAAAGTAACATAAATTTATTTAAATGTCCTTACAAAAACTTGAGAAAAGATGAAAAAAAAAATTCAAACAAAATGCCTCAAATGATGAAATTATATTCCTCACTTGGATGCCTCCAAGTTGTTGAAGTCGATCCAGTTCTGGTTACGCATCTTCTGCACGGTTCTCTTGAATGCTTAACAGTTCTCAATAGTGTGCCCTAGGACACCGCCATGATATTCGCAATGGGCACTCTCATCATACCACTTGGGGTATGGGGGCATCATGGGTTCCATCGGATATGGTGACACTATGTGGGTGTTAAAAAGTTGTTGATGAAGCTCTTTGTATGTCATCATAATAGGGTCGAAATGCTCCATTTACTTCCTAGGTTCTATAGAATCTTGTTTATAAGTACTTGACGGTACAACTGCAGTTGATTTTGGGCTGGAGACTGTAACACCTTTATTGACATGGTTGATGTTGTTAATCTCTCCATCCCTCTCCCTCATAGGAGGTTTTTTACTGGCCTCCCCATCCTTAATTTTGCCCTGCTTTACGGCCGACTCGATCATTTCTCTGGCCATAACCAAGTCTGAAAAGCTTCTTGATGTGATTGCAACCAGGTGTCTGAAATACGGAGCCTTCAAGGTCTGTACAAAAAGCTTCTGGGTTTCTTTCTCATCCAAGAGCGGATGAATTTGTACAACCAAATCCCTCTATTTTTGTACGTATTGCCTGAAACTCTCGTTATGCTTCTTTTTCATGCTTTGTAGCATAACTCGATCTGGACTCGTGTCATTGACGTGCTTGTATTGTTCCAGAAATAACTTGGCTAGGTCTTTCCAAGTCTTAATATATGATTAGCTTAGCTGGTTGTACCACCGAATGACTGAGCCCGACAGACTCTCCTGGAAGCAGTGGATCAGAAGTTGGTCGTTTCCTCCATATCCTGTCATCTTTCGACAGAACATGGTTATGTGTGCGGATGGGCAACTGTTCTCTTCAAACTTCTAGAACTCCGGGGACTTGAATTTCGGAGGAAGAACTAAGTCTGGGACTCGACTGAGTTCTACAGCATCGACTCTATGGTAGTTGTAACATACTCAATACCGGGTTAGTGATCAAATTGTAAAGTTTTAGAATTTGGTGACTAGAGTAGAACCATGGATTAGTTTAATGATTTATTTGGAAATAAATCATAAAAGTTGTTGGAAATTATTAAATGAAGTAAAGGGTAAAATGGTCAATTGACAAGGAAAGATATTTTTTCCCCTTTATTAGGAGATTAACACGTGGGGGAGAGGAAGATGAAAACTCTCTTCTTCTTCACTTGCTTTCTTCTTCTCCAACGTGCCCAAGCTAGGCAAAGGTGAGTTTCTTTATTTGTTGATTATTAGTTGAAATTTAAGGTTGAGTTTTGATTATTAGGTGATAATTAAGCATAAGAAGAGTTTAAATTATCTTGAAACAATAAGATGAAGAGAATAAAGGGGATTAAAGAAATGAGAGGAATAAGTGAAATCTTGAAAGATAGTTATTTAATGAGGTTTTAGAGTGAATTTGACTTGTCATCAATCTAATTAACATGTATGAAGTATTAGAATTGGATTTGTAACATGTTAAAATTTGGGTATGATTCTTGAATTTCTTAAGGAGAATAGGATATGGAGGTTAAAGAAGTGATTATTGAGTAAAAATGAGGGCAAATATATATATTTAAGTAAGGAATATGAAAGGGGATGAAATATGAAGCATTTGAGTTGAATTAAATGGATTTTCGGGCTTAAAATGCAAATTATGGGCAAGGTGTATCGATGCACATTGAAAGTGCATCGATGCACTCTTTAAAGAAGAAACATCGAATGCAAATGGTGCATCGATGCATAAGGAGTGCATCGATGCATCCCTTTAAAATGAAAACATCAAAGGTAATTTGTGTATCGATGCATGGGTAGTGCATCGATGCACATGTTAAATAATGCATCAATCCACTGTAGCATGCATCGATGCACTTCAAGGGGAAATTGAAATAGACATTTCTTCTAGTCTAAGAAATGATAGATTAGATTATAACAATGGGATATTGATATGTATCAATGTATAATTATGTAGATATCGAACACGAACAAGTTCCGGGTTGTGTATTAAGTTAAGATTCGATCGAAAGAGAGGAAATCATAAAGTGGATTGAAACTTAGTGAGGCCAAAGTGAGTGCACATTATTTAGTATATGATGTTAAATGGAAAATAAGACTTATGATAAGTCTATTTCCAATAGTAAAATGCATGAATTCATAGAGGTATGTGTTTGTTATGATTTATATGTGTGCATGAGTATATGTGTTATTGATATGATTCTATGATCATAGGATGTAAACTATGTGATAAGTGATAAGTGACTATATGGAATTATATGAGAACAAAAGATGACAATGATTTACATGTCATATGAAAACCAGAGAAGTGTTATAAGCAAAGTGACATATATGTGATAAATGAATGATATGAAAAGTGAGATAAACAAAGTATAGTTGATATAGGGTAATATAAGAATAGCTCATAGGTTATATGATAAAGATGGAACCATATATGAACATTAATTGAGTACTTGATAATAAGTCATAAAGTTATATGCATAGGTAATATAAGTTATAAGATAGAATATATATGACATTGATATATAGGCTAGATGAAAGTATACACATGAATACATATATAAGTTTATATGTTATTTTATATGCTATGGGATATACCCATGAACATATGTGATGTGATATATGTTATGAGAAATGACCTATGTGACTAAGTGTGAATTGATATAAGTATGTGATATGAAGTTATGAGTATATGTGTCATATGTTATTATATGTGACATGATATATATGAGTTTATGTGATATAAAAGTGTATATGTGAAATAACATGATAGGTGATAAAATCGTGAGCCTATATGATTATGTGTTATATGTTACATGATATGACATGCGAGTTATATGAACAAATGAGAAATAGTATAAGTCATATGAAACGATCTACGTGAATACATGCACTTGTGATACATGTGATATGATATGAGATATATGGTTACACATAAATGTGGTATGTGACAGAAGAGAAATAACAAGTGATATGAAATGTTATAAATGATAATGCCCATGTTATGTGATATGAGAGCTAGGGGTATAGTTGGCATGCTAAGAGTCGAGGGTTTACCTATGTCTTTCGAGACATATGGACAATTTACCTAGGTTTTTCAGGACCTATGGACAGTTGCCGAGGTTCTTTATGACCTCTGGATAGTTGTCGGGGTCTTTGTGACCTCTGGATATGTCATTCGGGACATTTATACGAGATGTGGTGACAACGTAGTGGTGCACAACCTCAATAGACTCACGTATCTACAGTTCTCACATGTGTACCATGGGCTAATAAAGAGATAATATTAATAAACTGGATATGATGATATGTTTGTTTCCTTATGAAATGTTATGTGTGATATATGATGGTACAAATGGTAATTATAAGATTATATGATAAAAGGAATCAATGATAGTGATAAGAATGAAGATGATGATATAGTTGCTTGTGTGTTTGATTTACAATAGTATATATGTTTTACATAACATGATATATATATATGGTATACGTGAGTACATGTTAAGGTATATGTGAATGAGTATAATTGATTGACATGATGATATAATAACAAGTTTATCAGATATATAATATGGACATAAAAGATCATAGGAACAGGAGATAAGAGATATGAATGATAATGATATATATGTATGTATGTATTTGTTACATATAAAAGTATATGAGTTGTAAGAAATGATAATAGTAATTGTTTATGCATGATTACTAGTAAATGTTTACATTATATGTTTATTGCCTCACTAAGTCATAGACTTAGCGTGTAAGTGATTTACAAGTAGGTTTCGATAAGAGTAAAGAGCAATGTGGAGCAAGACATGTCAGTTCTCCTTACTAAAGGTCAGATCAGAAGAAATGTGAATAATATGTATTTTAATATATGAAGTTCTAGTGACACCTCAGACTCGGATCCGGGTCGGATACGGGTTGGGGGTGTTACAGTAGTCATGGTCTCCTTTGACTACTTTCATTTGGTCCTCCAATTGCTTGATTTTTTTCATTCATCTTCCTTGCTGTGTCTTCTTCGTCTAAATCCGATATATGGTAATAACCCAAATTGTTCTCAGGGTTAAATAACACAATATGTATCTTTGCAGTAGATGGGGTCTTCATTTTTGCAGCGGATGAGTCCCCTTAAAGTTCTGGTAAGATTCCGGGTGAGACAACCACTTGTGGGGTAGGTGGTATAGTTACCCCTTCCGATGAACCTGCCCCAGGTGCACTCGCTTGATGTAGGCCAGATAACTTGGCCACAATTTAATCGACCAAGGATTCTTGGCTTTTCATTATTGTATCCAGAGTACTCAGACTACTCTGGTTTATCTTATCTTCCAACACTTTTTGTAACTTTGCCATATTCTCATCAATTTGTGTGATTCTTACTTCCATCTTCTTCTTTTTCAAGCGGGTGTTACGCGGATGGGGTGTGTCCAAGGCTTGAGGTGGTGTATCCAGTATATGTTCCTTCTGATGAGACATGCTTCGGTTAGTTAATGCGAATGCAAATAAATGAAAATAACAAAATACAAAATATGTTTAAATGCAAAATGCATGAAATGCTCGAGGCATTGATCCAAAAATGTGTCTATTATTATAAATAATCCTTATTGGGGACAAAAGTGATACGTCTTTGGAGGCAAAAAACATTTTAAAGGTATAAACCCCAAACATCTTCTGACAGGTTAATTCATCTTCCGTCTTTTTCTATCACTGGTTGAATGCCCTGTCGAACTATTCCGGCTTCTCTGGCTAAACTGTGCAAGTGACGAGCTACTTGTTCCAAAAAATCTCAAATGACTGCATCTCTGGCTTTCACTCTCTGTTGAGCTTGTTCCTAACGAAATCGGCATTGGAGCCTTTCATCGATAGGAACTATCCGAAGTTTATCTGTTTGTTTCTTAAATTCATCAACAATGGTCTCCAGCTTAGCTAGGGTTTCGCCGTCTTGTTCTTATTATCTTTGAAGGGATTCTCCAGGTCAGTAACCTTTTTCTTGTCTGCTCCTGCAACTTTTGCTAACTCAAAAAGTTGACTTTTGTTGTGCTCGGTATAAATCCCGTAACTTTCTGAACCGGATTTTTGTGTTTTCACCTATTGTATTATAACCCCTTTGTCCATTAATGCAAATTATTTACGTTTAACGAACACGTTTTTGGTGGATCAACACCTCTTTCGAATGATGCAAATGATGAAAATGAAATAGAATAAAAAAGAAAAGAGTTAGT